AGCCTTGACGCTACCAAATTTGCATTGCTAAGTTTCTTCACCCTTATGGCGACGATTTGCCGGAAAATTTGGGCAAAACCACTGCCCAATGTAAAAAGGCACCACTTCCGGTTGACCTACGTCGCCTTTGCTTGAGCTCCTTTATAGTTTTGTACGTTCCCTATCGTGGAAGGGATGAAGGATCATTATACGTTTCCGCGAAACTGCCCACCCATCCCTCACCTAAACCAACATTTTGACCTAGGTGAGAAGTAAGTGTTAATATTGGCTTAGGGGAGGGGTAGGTGGGCAGTTTCCCAGAAACGTATAATGATCCACGATGAATCAACTTACAGTATCCTGCCACTCCAAGTGTCCTGTCCAAGCCAAAGCTCTCTGTGATCCTTGAGTCGGGTTCATATCTTGCGTCACAGGCTGACCACCTCCAGGTTGGGGAACTGGCCTCTGCTGTGGTTGGTTGTGTACCTGTGGCCAATTTGGTGTTGGAGTGTTACGCACAACCTCTGGCCCCGCGTTAGGTGCCGCTGCTCCGCTGCTTGGTGTCGGGTTTTGGACTGTACAGTATGTGGAAAAACAGATTAAGACCAAGTCCACACTAACAGGCATTTGTTTTTTTTTTGTTTTTTTTTGGAAAATGAATTCTTTTTTTTTTCCTTCTACAATCGAACCTCTCCAATACGGCCACCTCTCTATTACGGACAGTTACCAAAGTCCCGACAAAATTTGCATAAATTTTCTTCTCTCACGCGGACAACGGACAATAAATCTCGGCCCCAGAGAGTAAATTCGTATAAAGTTAACCTCTTTATTACGGACACTGCGGTGATCAGGTGAATTCCGAATACCGATCAGGTAAATCTGCACAGGGTGAATCCCGTCTGGCTGATGAGCTATGCAAGGAGATTTCAAAAGCCCAGTCGCTGTATATCAAACAACGATTTACGAAAGGTGTACAGAGGAACATAACCGACTTTTTAAGGCTTGAATAACTACAGATAGTATAAAGATCTTTTCTATTACATTTTGTACTCTAGTTACTGTTTACTACACTTGCAAAATAGTGAAAGACGCTTTCAGAATTGTGCTTTACGTTACAGCTTTTTACATTCAGCATTGCGCTGTAGCTCGTTTTTTTTTTTTTAAACAGTGACTTGTCTACGGCTGTTCTTACTTTGTAGCTGCTATGTACGATGTTGTACATGCTACTGGAAGACAGTGTCTTTGTACAGTGAATTAATACATTTAAATGCAGTTTAAAGACGAGTGTGAGCCTGGTGTTAGCTACTAGACACTTAAAACTGTAAGTGGAGTCATAAAAGTGACGTCATCATAGTGACCTCTTTTATACGGACACCTTTCTAATGCTGACACTTCGCTCTGTCCCTTCGGTGTCCGTATTAGAGAGGTTCAACTGTATTTTCTTTTATAGTTTTGGCATTGTGTCAAAAGCAAAACGTTAATAAAAGGAGGTTTTCCATTTCTTTTCTTTTCGGCAGGCGAACGTCAGTTGATGGAGCGTTGATTTGCGCGGGAGGTCTTAAAATAAGTGAGATAGAAGTGAACGCCTCTGCCGCCTTCGTCTTTGAGCAGGCACTGAAATAACTGTAATACTAGTGAGGTAAGATCGTGAGGGAAAGAACTGGAGACTCCAAAGGGTGAGTGGTAATAAAGGGGAAGTGAAGGGAGCGTGTATGAATAAGGTATTGTTGTGGAATACGAAAAATTTATGTACTTTTGCTTGGAGCTGAAAAAATGGATATAAACGCGGTGGTCATAACGTTGGCGATGGACTTAATATCGGGGACGTTATAATACTGGGGGTGGGTGGGGGGGGGTGGTCGTAATAACGGGGTGGTCATAATGACGGGGTGGTCGTAATAAAGGAGGGTCATAATAGAGCGGTCGCAATAAGAGGGTGGTCGGTAACGGGGTGCCGAGTCGTAATATTGGGGTGATCAAAATGGCCGTTCTCATACTAGAGACGGATAACTATCCTCAAAATCCATCAAAATTGACGAATAAACACATGGATAAAGTCAGGCGGATTATTCATCCAAAATTAGAACCGTTCCATTTTTAAATTAAGAGGTATTAACTGTCTGACGCGAATTATCCAACGGATAACCCGTCTCGCACGAATAATCCGTCTCTAGTGTGAAAACGGCCAATAACGAGGTGTTCGCACTAACGGTAGCTTCCCACGCAAACGTTCTTAGCGGTTCTTCACGCGCTCCTGTCCCACAAGTGTGGCAGGAACGCGTGACGAAGCCCTTTGAACGTCTGCGTGGGAGGCTACACTATGGCGGGCTTCCGCTGAATTAAGGCACATTAAAAATGTGGTAGGAAAAACGAGCAGCCATTTAAAAATACCCACACTGACTGAGAGGCTGTATTGATGCAATTTTCTGAATCTGCTGAGCGTGGTGCTTGGCAGCTATTAAATTACTGCCCTGCCCTGAGGGAAGCGTTGGTTTAGGAGGGTTGACCTTCACCACGCCAGATATTACGGTACCGTCCTACCAAAAAAATCAGTCGAAAATACTCAATTAAAAATAAATTCGTAAAACAGGAGTCCCAAAACCCGACGCGAGTAACTCCCATACTACAGCTATGTCACGGACTTTTAGCGGACCGGTTTATTCTTAAACCTCAAGGAGATACCACTAAAAACATTGCTTCCATCTACAGTATAACAGAGCCCATAAAGCGCTTGCCTTTGGACATAGATACCACCACTGATGGGTCTAACAAAGCTAATGAATCGAGCTTTTTATTCACTTCCTTTCAAGAATGAAAATACGTCTTACTTCATGTAAACTAAAAAGAATGGTGTTATGCCGATGGCTGATCTAAAGCTGGTGTTTTATAAAGAAAAGGGTGGTTTCAATAACTGCCAAGGTGGAGATCAGAGTCATTCCGACAAACGTTCACGGTTTTCAAGAGACGACACTTTTCTTAGTGTTGCCGAAGCCCCCGTTGCTCTTTCTGGTATTAATGCTCTAAACTTCTACGACTTGTTCATACGTTTGCTTTCCTTAGTTTTCAACGGAAGTTTAATTTTCCAGTTAATATCATTTCATACCGGAGTTATCGACACGTTAGGCGATGGTGCAACTCCAAACATTCTGGGTGCAGTTTGTTGTAGTTTGGTTTCAGCAATTGTCGTACGAATACCACTGTTCGGCTTCTTTGGTGCTTTCTCTGGACTCTCTTTAACTTTAAAATTAAAAAAGAAACAGAGAAAAAAGCAACTTTAAAAATAATGACACAAATGAAAAATAATAATAGTAATCATCATCATCATCATCGCCAACGCCATCACCATCATCAATATCAATTGTTATTGTGGTTATCACTATTGTTATTATTATCATTTTCATCATTATTTTATCGTTAACATTATCATTATTATTATTACTGAACCCTTTTATCTCCAGAGTGAATAACGGAGTTTCATAAGGTGGTTCTGTAAAGTCTGTAGACTATATTTGGCGCTTTGAAAATGTTTCCTGTCGTCTGTTGCAACGGATGGCAAGGATCGACATAAATTGAAACTTGAAAAAGTTTTAATGCTATGCCTGCAAAAATCAAATACACATCGGGCGAATCCACGTTCGACCGGATATCGACAGGTGGCAGATACAGAACAGAGCGCATACAATTGATGCCTACCCAGTGTTAAGAAAGGTCATCGGTTCAAATCCAAAGGGCAACTCGTATTTTTCTTTTCTCCCACACAAAGAGCGGAAACGAGGGATCAGGACCACCTCCAACACCCCCCGACCCCTCACCCTTCACACCTGCTTTTAGTGTACAGGTCCTTGTAAAGCTACGATAAAACGAGCAACAATAACATGCAACTGCCACTTGTTTTGCAATAATGCTGTAAAACGAGTTGAAAAGCTATGTTGCGCGTTTTATCATCCGCATTCAAACCTGCCTTGCAAGTTGTGTGAATACTGACTTCTGATTGGATAAAATTACGCGGGAGTCACGCCATATACGGTAGTTAAGTCACTTGCTGCAAGACAAGTTTGCCTTGCGTCGGTAAAACGCGCGACATTTACAGGCAAAAAGTAGAACTACTTTCTGCTCTCCGCAACAACTTTTTGCCTCCTGCAACAACCTGATTTGTTGCAAGACAGTTTGACTCGAGGGTGGTAAAACGCGCAACATCACTCTTCAACTCGTTTTGCAACCGTAGTCGCAAAACAAGTTGCAAGCTTTTGTTGCCCGTTTTAACACACCTTAAGAAACACACGCACCATTACTTGTCAGCGGACTGCCAGCTGATGAAACAGACTTCATGTTAGTGGGATCAGCCATCTGTGCAATAGTTTTCGGCAAATCTGTTATACTTTGTGCATTTTTCACATCTGATTTCTGGTTTACTGATGTCACTAGAATGCAACAATCACCGATCAGACTGACATTAACAACAAACAAGAGTAAAAGTAAAAGGGCTCGAGCACGGAATTCTCAATGATTTTACTGAATCATTACCGTCTTAAAATTACAAATCAGCATGAATGCATAGATGCATAACTTGTATTGTACCCCGATTGTAGCAGAGTAGCTACAATACTTGAAATCTTCAGGAAGAAAAAATGGGTAAGATCTCTAAAACAGGTAATTATAATACAAATTGGTGTAACTGAATGGGCAAACCGTATTGATCACGACTTTGGCTAGCTACAAAACAACACGCAGCTACCACGAAAAATTATTGTTTCTACAGCGAGTGACAAACATGTTTCTCATATTCTGAATGCGCTTGTTATACAACGAAGTCATTTCAAACTTGTTAAGCAAGGGCTCGTGCGTTGTCCGAGGGCGCAGGAATAAATCACATAACCCCTCGTATCAGGCCGATAACCCTTACTTATTCACGATACCCACCATCTTTGCACGCGTTTAAGGACTGATGGGATATAAGCGATGTCACGTAGTCACGTGGTGTCTCCGGGGGCAAATTATTGCAAGTGGTCAGTGTTACTTTTTTGTATACAGTAGCGACCGCAGATGTCCTCGCAGCGAGCAATAACGACGTAAATCTTGTCGAAACTCAAGTTACAGTACATTTTGCATGACTAAAGTCGTCTCCTTTTTTAGAGGAAAAAAAAAACAAAATCGACCGCGATTTCTCGTATTGGCAAATTTTATCACTGGTTTGAATACCAGGTGACATTGCTTAATAGCTGCTTTTATCCCATCAGAGCACGTGGAAAAACGGCGGGCATCGTGAATAAGGTCTATTAAAGTATGAGATTCAAACAGTGCTCACCTGGTAAATCTAGGCCCTGAATACACACCAGATGGTTAGGATCCTTTGAATAATCTTTGGACAAAACAGCGGTACCTTCAACTGTAAGAGACTGAGAGTGACATTGAAAATAAATACCAGACTAACATTAATAAAAGAAAGTAAACTTCAAAGTTGAGATTCGCGGGCGTGTGGTTGTCTGAGAAAACCAAAACGTTTACCGGGCACAGTTTTCAAGCAAAATCCAAAAGAAAACAAAATGGTTCTGTTTCTGGCTGATAGGTTATATAAGGCAAAACGACCGACCAATTTGCCAGGTTTTCTTCTCTAAGGTTAACCACATACGTGGTGGGTGCTTGTTAAATTTTCCTCCCAACAGGATGGGCGCTTATTCGAGGTGGGTGCTAATTTGAGGTTAGGCGCTTAATCGAATAAAATACGATACCTGCCCACTCACATGCATTATGCGCGCGTGTGTCACACGCGATCACACGCATATCACACGCATTAAACTCATTGTTCCGGACTACTGCACTTGCTCGGTAACCACTAACGTGAAAAACGACAAGATAGGTTATCCAAAGGGGTCAACTCTGAGAGCTTTGACTTCACGATTAGTATACAGCGCTACATATCAATTTGACAGACTAACAAAGGCTGAGCGTGAAACGCAGGTTGGCGCAGCAAAAACTGACCCTTTCAAAGACTCTCTGAAGTGCAGGTATTTTCCTTGGTGCAATGATGGAGAGATTTATTCCTTTCTGAAAGATAAAAAGAGACTCATTTGAAACTAAACTTTTTTTTGACAATAAAGCAGTACAATCCCAAAATCAATCTCTTTTCAAAATAAAAATTCCCGGTGAATTATTATTATTAATAATATTATTATTATTATTGTAATTATAATACTTTAATAAATTATCCTCTCCCCTTGTGGGGCTTTTCAGAGACAATGAAACAAATAACTTAAATGAAACATAACATGGACAAGATATCCCAACTGGAAGGACTGGCACACCAGTTGGCTATTTTACAAGCATGGCCGAGGATTTGAACTCTTGATTACCAAGAACAAATCCAGCTAGCCGTGAGGGTGGGACTGGAACTGAGGGCCTCCAAATTACAAGTCCAGCGCTCTCTAACTCGGCCATGTTGCCACCACTTATATTACGTGGTTTTTTTTTTTATCTGAACATTCAGCCACATGATCTACTGAAGGAGTAAAATTATTGTCAGTGTAACTTATGATCAGCATTTTCTTCATCACCTTTTTTCCCATTTCCTCAGCCAGCTGCTCCACAGTCTTGTCAAAATAATCATCAGCATAGCCACACTCACGACTTGGCAAAGTAAACGGAGGAGAGTTACAAACCACTATGCAGCTTTTACGGACAATTCCTCTACAAATAGCAACAAAGCAAACACAATATTATTCCTCAGGTAGCTAATATCCAACTCTTCCTTGAGCAATCATCTTCGGTGCACAAACAAAAAGTGCGTGTTTACTTGAGGTGTAGGGTTGTTCATTTTCACATAGAAAAATTGAAATGAAAATAATCTCTACTTATTAGTAGGTATTTTCACATAGATCAAATATTATAAAAACAAAGTTTTATTTTTTACCAGAGCCAAATGCAGTAAACCTTTTAAGGGACACAAAGGGACAGAAAAACTGTCCGCTTGGTTTAAAAACCAACCAAACTACGGTTTTATTTTATTATAGAGGTGTCCGTAAGAGCCAAATACACCCAGCAACTGGAGGCCATTTCTCAACCACCAGAATTCATGATTAATTTTAAGGCGACTCGAATGACTGGACTTTATTGTAGGTGATTTCATTTGTGTGAGAATGTATATATATGTCACAGGTCAAAATTTAATTCAGCTTAAAATTTTTTAACCCAGGTTGATTCTCAATTTCCTTTGTCTCCTAGCCCTAATCCATGAATAATTAGGGCTAGGAGAAAAAGGAAATTGAGAATCAACCGGGCTTAAAATATTTCAACCTGAATTTAATTTTGACCTTTTGGTGTAACATATACATCCCTCCAGCAGTTGTTGAGCAACCTCACAGAGGACGTATACAGGGGTTCTAATAAGCACCGACGACCAACAAAACACGTTGGCTACTTTGCTCAGAGAAGTCAGCTACTTTTTTCCTCTAAATTGGAAGCTGGAAATAGAGTATTAAATTAAAGAAAGATTCTGTCAAAACTTCAAAATTCAATTTGCTGGACTTAGACAGACTTTTTGCTTCAGATTTAAAATACTTAAGAAAAGTTTTGGACTTACTGTGCATTACCTAACCAAATTGATTGAAAATACATTATCTTTTGTCCTCAATCTAGTGCCCAGAACGCTGGAAACTGCATTTCAGGGCATTGAAATTTCGAAATTTTCAAGAAGTGCAGACCCCCAGACCCCTCTAGAAGAAGGGGAGTAAAAGCCTCTTTTTGATACAGTTGGTTACTTTTTTCAAACCTGCTGGCAACTTCAATTTTTGTTGAAACTCCAGCGTATATATATGTCCTCGTTAGGCAAGGGGTTAAAAATCCCCTACAAACCCAACAATCTATTTAACATGCATATTACAATTTACCGGTAATTCATGTTTGGAATATATAGTAAATAAGTTAATTAAATTACGATGATGATGATGATGATTGATGATCAACGATTAAAATGATGATGATGATGATGATGATGAAAAAATGCCACTTACTTAGAGGTTTGACCCCTCAGAATAGTTCTTTCATCAAATATCTGTTCACAAAAAATATTTGGTTTATTGTTTGAAGTAACTCAAAACACAAATCCATTTACACCATTTGCATGTACAGTAACCAGAAATCTGAGGCCCAATTTTAGCTGCTCTCATGCATTCTCCACGACTAATACATGGTAATGGGAAAATCTATTTTCATTTCACCTTGCCTGCTGGCAGGTTATTTACCAACTCAAGCAAAATAATTATTTCATATCTAGCCTGATTTTGATGTATCTTCATCCATGGGAAAAAAATGTTATCTCACACGTGAAAAGATCAATGTTGCTATTTGCCATTGCTGTCTACATAAGATAATCACATTTTATTTTTTGCAGCAAAAAAATATTTCAATGGTAATTTCATTGGTGTTAGAACAAATAGAACATTACAATTGGCTGCTTGGAAATATGAAATTTCTCTTCAGGTGTTATTATAAAGGTAAAGGACTCATATTTTTTATGTTCACTAACCTGAAGAGCTACACTTAGTGCTTCAGCTAATAAGCTGCATTCCTCACAGCCACCACCCTCAAATCTGAAAGTTAATCAACACAGTCGGAGAGTGCATATAGTAGTGAGGACTCAGTTATTAGTGACAGGCTCTGATTGTGCCAAAAAGACTACTGTAATAAATGAGTAACAACAAAACTCTATAATTTAATGTCAAACTGTGAATTGAGAAAACAACAAAGGTAAAATCGTCACGCATAAGATTTCAATTTGTGTAATTTAAGGCTTTTGAAGTTTGTTTTCTAGGGCTACAATAAAAACTTTTTCTTTGGAGTTATTTCATACAACTTATAAAATTTATAGCCCTTGAAAAGTGTGAAAAAGAATGCAATATGCTTGAAGTTATTCTGGTACAAGGTTTTTGTCCACTGAAAATTAAAATTACTCAATTACCTAATGGATTTCATCTTAACAGGTTTCATAACCATTCCACTTTAATAACTATGCTCACAGTATAACTAGGGGAAATCCCCTGCCCGCAGCCCCCGACCCCCAGCATACTTACCTAACTTCCTCCAGAAACTCCAGCATCTGCTTTGCATCTCTTGTTTCTCTTACACATTGCACTGCTGGATCAGGAGTGTGACTTACTGTTCCATAGACTACCAAGCCATATTGGTTTGGACCATACTGAAAAGAAGATATCAGAATCAAGGTGGGTTATAAATCTATTGTGGTACCTCAATATAACAAAGGGACAAGGGAATGACAAAATGTATGTTAACGAGGCTTCATTATAACAAGGTATTTCTCCATATTTTACTGGAGATTTGTTATATCAAGGCTCCACTGTATTAGCCTTTAACTTCAAAGTTATTGGCAAAGTTATTGGAGCTTTACTGCGATTTGTTTACCATTTTTTTGGGGGGGGGGGTAAGGGGACCATATTCTGATGCAGGAGAGGAACCTAAATTAAAATATATTTAGTTTGGCTAAGCGAGTGGCCATCTATAAAATAACGCTTATTACTACCTCGATTACTGCACTTTTCAAAAACATACAAATTCTGAGATTCAAAAGCTAACTGACATTTGCATTTTTCAATGCCATCAATCACCTTAGCAGACCTCTTAGGAAATAGAAGTTTCCTTCAATGGGTTCAAAAGATCATGGTTTGTGATTTGTGACTGCATGGTGGATATCCATCCATTTTGTGTGTTTCCATGTTTCAAGGTGCGTTTCTTGTGATTGTAATAATGACTGATGGCAAACAAAACACAACAATTGCGAAGGCAACTCTTGAACTTCAAAGTTCCCGTGTTTTTGACAAAAGCACAGTAATGAATTACAGATAAAGCCATTCAAAACTGAAACAAAATGCCATGTGTTAATTTCAAACAAACAGTATGTACCTCATCTCCAAAACTGTACTCTGTGTCCATTGGGATTCCTCCATTAAAATAGCTAAGATATAACACAAGACAATACAAATTTCCGTCTATAACTATAATTTGTAAATTTTGTATGTTGCTATATATATGAACGAATACTTAATGATGTCAAACTTCCTGTTGAGTAATTTTACCAGTGAATCCACTCATCATCTACAGCCTGTTCATATAAATAGGCGTTCTTACTTAGGGGGTAACCACTGCTTTTATTGATACAGAAATAAAGTGAATATTAACTAAATATTTCATTTGTTATTCACAACAAATCTGAAACACATTTCAATCCATTTAGTTCAACAAAGTTTGTGCTCATAGAGGTCATGTCACTTACTAATGTTTGCCTTTTTCAAATTTACCCAAAAATAAAAGGTAGGTTTAGAGCCTACATCCATACATGTATTTCATTCACAAGCAAAATCTTTCCACATTTGGCAAGCATTTTGCAAGAGATTCTGATTCAATCAAACCTGGTTTAACTAATCATGTTTGGTTGGCGTGAACATCACAAGGTTTTCTTTATGACTATTAGCATAACAGGATGTAATAGAAACAAAATTTTAATTCCTTGATAACATCAAATGAATTTATGTTTGACATAAAACTATCTTTAAGCTTACATCACATAAAGTGACACTTTAGGTCTTCTTTGTGATACATGTACCTTAAAAGCTTTAGGATGAGCTGAAAGTCCGAGGGGGGGGGGGGGTACTCCGGATTTCAAGTGACAGGGATGATTGAAGGATTTTTTGGGGTTAGAAATTTTTGATTCCGGGATTTTTGGGGGTAGCAAGATTTTGGCAAGAATTTTTTGGGGTAGCTTGATTTAAGTAGGGATTTTTGGGGATATTCAAAACAATCTGAAGGTTTGTGATAGTTCCCCCATATTATCTAATAACGGTAATCTGTGAATAACTTTGTAGGGTTGTTCATAATGTTCTTGCTCAGGGTAGTCTTGTTTACATGTAGAGTTGTCATTCTGCATAATGTTATTGTTGTAACAGAATATGCACTTGTGTGTCTCAAGTGTTGTTACAATGATCACCAGATGCAAAAAAGGTTCTCACTCCAGATGGCGTGATGAATAAAAAAACACAAACACTCCATTACTAATATTTCTATTTTTCGTGTTATATCATTTAGTGCTTTTATGGCTCGGAAATTCGGCATGGGGTTTTTTCGGGGTTCAATTTTGGTCCAGGGATTTTTGGGGGTTTTGTATGAAGCCCTAGCGATTTTTTTGGATTTTGATTTTTGCACCCATTAGATCATCATCCATAGCACTCCCCTTGGCTGAAAGTGCCGCAAAATTTTATACCATCTATAAGTTCGGAGAAAATATTTCATTGAAATGACGATCGTTGCTGTTTTGGCAGGGAAAATTAATTAAGCTTTATAAAACAAAAAACTGAGTCTTACAAAGCTTGACGATGAGAGTTCCAATTACATGCATGTGGCTGGATAAAATTTAAAGAATAATTCTGTTTATAAAAGCGAGCGCAACCACGAAAGAGATATTTCCGCTTCAATATGAATACAAATATTTCTCGAAATCAAACACCTAAACATCCTACAGCATGAAATGATGAAAAATATGAGTCTGGCATGGACGTGAACACGTCCCCGTACAGTGTACAAACAGACTTGTTCTTTAAGCGTAAATGAGCTCAGCTGATGAGCTTGACAAAATTGCCTCACTTACATTTCGATCCTTTTCTCCTTCCTTAAGACAAACTCTAGCGACGATCCACAGCGAATCTTAAAAAAACTAATGTGCACTCTCTGGCGTTATACTTACTGTATTGCAGGTTCGATATAGGCTTTCTTGAGGTCTTCAAAGTCGAGAAGCAAATTCGCAGTGCCTTCGACGACGAAGACAACATCATTTTCGATCTCACCACCACCAGCAACAACCATTATCGACGAGTTCCTCGGCGAAAATGAACAGGAAGTCGATCAGCCTTCGTCTATACACTCCATAATATTGTTAAGGGGATTACCGGAAGGTGATTTCACGTTATAATTTTAGTTTTCAATGACGCTAGAAACCGAAGAAAGAATCTGCGGCCGCTCTCAGGAAGCTTCCATTGGCACCAGATCCACTCGGTGAAAAATGCATGAATTCAACTGGAGATTGGCGCGAGAGATTTCTTTGTCCCAGCCCCTCTCGCCCAGGTGCAAGCTCTTCCCTATCAAGCAATCAAACTTTTTTAACTTTTTTTTTCCTAAACAAGTGGGGTGATGAAATTGAAAAAACTTGTGACAGAAGTGGACCTTCAGGTCTACGCCATGGTTGATAGTGTTCATCACAAGTATAATTGTTGGTTTTCACTTGACGTCACTAAAATTCAAACTACAAAACTATCGATCCTAAGGAGATTTTAGTTTCACGATGTATTAGAGTAGCTGAAAACTAATTATCAAACAAATTTTCGCTTCAAAAGGATTCTTCGTTTTGTGATAGAGTACGCTTGAATTTTTAAGCTTTTGCGTGACGCGGCAATTACATGTTAACGGCCAAGAGAGCTGCCATGTAAGTTATTAAAAAAAAAGACTTATTTCAGGGAATTTTGCTATCTAAACAGTTCATGTATTAGAAAAAGTATTACTTTAATATTTATGAGTTCCTCGAAGAATAAATTCCCGCTTTTGTAGAAAAACTCGGTAACAGATGTTTCTGTTGGTTTCCATCCGCCGTGTTGGTGCCCATCCGGATGCTCGTGATGACGTAGCCGCCGGTACTGCCGGAGACACTTCTCGGACGAATGAGAACATGCGCCGCCGGCAACTAGAGCCATCGCAGAGCTTTACCGCCGGCATGCCTGCGAAGTTGAACTTGAGTCAACTTTGAAGGCATGCCGGGGGTAAAGACTGGGATGAGCATCAAACGTATTGCGCTGCACCATCCAGTTTATGGCTTATCTTTTTAAGAAACAAAAACTTACTCGTCATCAGAGTGGTAATAAACTTTTCCACTCGACAGGGACATGAAGTCTGCACGTCACTGGTCATCTTTTTAAGGCAGTAGGTGAGAAAAAGATTACAGCCATGATCTTAATCGATTTGATTAAGGCGTTTGATACTTCTGAGTCTTCCACTACTTGACCGAAAGATATCAGACAGCCTGTATAGGCTGCACGCTTTATTCGCCATTACCTGTCGTTATGGAGTTCCCCAATGATCGATTCTCGGTCCCTTATTGTTCACACTTGACATCAATAAATTGCCGAATATCGTCTCAAATTGTGAAATTGAATCTTACATGGACGATATGATACTAAGCTGTTTCTTTCCTTTAAATCTTTTGATACCGACCTGGAATTGGCAAGTGTCTCTCAAGATCTCCATCGGGTTGTAGAATGGCTTTGTGAACATCAGTTAATAATTAATCCGGACAAAACAAAATTTATTCTTTTCGGTACAAAGCAGCAGCTTGGACAACTTCTTAATCCAACGGACGTTGACTCCTGACAAGATCTGTAAGGATTTGGGCATCCGTGATTCCGGTTTGACTTTCGATACTCACTTTCCTTGCTTCTTTCTACTTTGTGTAAAATTAATACAGTACCGCATCTCTTTGATAAATCCATACTTTTAATTTTTCTAAATTCACTTGGTTTAGTAAACTTTTTTTATTATATGGAGGAGAGTGTTTTACTGGGAACTAAACCACTCGTAGATTCCATACGCCACTTCATCCGGGACCCGAGTGGCGTATTTTCCGTATGTTACCTTTGTGAGTGTCGTATCGTTCAATGACGTCACGATTCCCGCCTTTTGCTTTTGTTGAATTGGTTTCTCCATATAATAAAAAGAACATTACACGTTAGCTCGAAGATATGAATTTTATGTTCTCGTGGCAAGAACAATATCTCACTCGTTCGCTTCGCTCACTCGTGAGATATTGTTCTTGCCACTCGAACATAAAATTCATATCTTCTCGCCACCGTGTAATATCCTCTATTTATTGTTCGACAGCATGGTTTGGCACCACTAAACAGAACCGTTGACATGCAAAAGCTTCAGCAAGTTCAGAACTTTGCCGCCCGTATTCTCACTGGTTTAAGAAAGTTTGACGTCGCTAGCCCCAAACGATCTTGCCTGGTTACCTATCAAAGATCTCCTTATACATCGTGACCTCATCATGATGTATAAATGTCTTAATAGCCAAGTCCCCGAGAATCTTTCTAGCAAAATTATTTATTAAACTATCTGACGTTCATAAGATTTCTACTAGGTAGTCTAATGGCATTGATTTGAGCAGGTTTCGAACTTCCTCAGCCCAACGTTCCCAGTAATTCTATGGAGCCGCAAAGCGTTGGAACGAGTTGGACTACCAGATAAAAACCTCTTCCTCATTAAGTCTATTCAAAAAGTCCGTGAAAAAACCTGAAAAACTCCATTTTTAGTGATTTTCAATCATTTTATATAGATATATAGAAACATATACATCACCTTTTTTTATTTTCGTTCTACATGTAACTCGTAAATAGACCTTGTCACGGTTTTCGACGCCATCTTGACGACAAGGCAAACCCGTAACAGAATTACAGTGTGTCGTGTTTGTATGAGAATCTAATGTCGAATAATTTCCGTAAAACGGCTGTTTTAAAAAATACATGAACTGTAAACTAAAGCTTCACTCTTAAGGATTCTACTGAAAAAATTTGAGGGCGTTACATGCGCTAGAAGACCTAGAACCCTTTTTTTAATATTTTCTATACATTTGTCCGTAAAAATTTCCTGGAAAAAAATTGCAGACAAATTTATGGAAAATCTAAAGCAAGCTTCTGAAGAAATTTAAGCACAGTAACAGCCCCCAAAATTTGTTGGTAAAATCCTTTACTGTGTAGCTTTAGTTTACAGTTCTTATTTTTTCCAGAACAGCTGTTTTACGGAAATTATTCGACATTGGATTCTCATACAAACACTGTAATTTCTCACGCGTTTGTCTACTCGTCAAGATATGATGGCGTCGAAAACTGTGACAAGGTCTATTAGCTTTCTATCTACATTTGTATTGTTTATTAGTTCTGAAAAACCCATGTTTATTAGTTAGTGGACGAAACTAATGTAATGTATTTTCACGTGCTACAAAAAGCGAATGATTCGCAAGATCGTCGAGCTTTCAAAGATTGTAATATAATATATCCAATGAATTTAATTCATTACCAAAATATTACTCACAAACACATAGGAGTTCTTATAAAAAGACCTGGGTAACTTTATGTTCTGTTCTATCAGCAAGCGCCTAAATATGTTTCTTTATAAGTAAAGTAGGCCACCATATGAAAATACAATTATATTAATAAGATTCAAAAAACTCAATTTTGAAAGAACAAAAACAATAGTTTTACAGGGGAACCACGATAATGAAGTATGTAAGTATTTGAAAAATTGTGTTAATTTTATTCCTTCGTTGTATCGGGGTTCCACAGCATCCTCCCTCAACATATTTTGCCCGAATAAAGCCACGCAATAACTGCAACTTATGTATAGTTCTTTAAATGCCAAAAGGTATCATCTGTCTTCATTCTACCCACTTATATGGCACGTATTGAATTGCATTTTGTAAATATGGAACTGAAAGGCGCTGCCAGAGTGAGTTCCCTGACCTCGTCACATGATTGGGAGCTTAAGCAACGAAGACGACGCGCTACGACAACGCAAACAGTGCAAAAGCAATAATACGTTTAGGCTGGCAAAAGAACAACTCAACAACTCACGCTTTTTTGTATATTTCTTTAACTTCTTTGCACCACCACGACATGCATGAAACTGACTAATTTCACGTTTTATTGAGGACTTGACGACAAGACAACGATTTTCTTATTCAGTTTTAAACTTCGATACAGTTATTTTTAGAATTTAATTCCAGAAAATTCACCAACTTTTGACAAATCAAAGCACATGGAATAAAAGTGATAAATTCTGAAAAGCGTGAATTCACTTTGTAAGTAGACTGTTCACATTCCTCTATTTTTCGTGAGATCCTGAAGATCGAGTGTTTACCTGTACAGGTGGCCACCTTAGTTACATGTACCGAGGGGACGGCGTCGGGGTTTATAGCGGTGCAACCCCCCCCCCCCCCCCCCGCCCCTCTGTCCTCCGCATAGGCTCCCGCTGGGTATCCATATAAAAATAGCAATAATTGGAAAAATTAGAAAGCGCGCAGGGGAAGATGGGAAGAGGGAAAAGGCGGGAACCTCTCTTCTCTTTTTCCCCTTCATATTGTGCCCCGCGCGCTCTCTTTTTCTTTCTCCCCAGCCTCCCCACAACACAAAGAAGCCTCTGCGGAGGAGAGAGCCCCCCCCCCCCCCCCCCCCCAAGAGATTTGATACTCATCCAAGATGGCCACCCCGGCGAAGCGCGAAGCGCTCGATCTCGACGATCTTACGGAAAGATAGGGGACTCTGACCACTATACTTTTTATGAGACGTGTCGTCGCCATTGCTTAAGCTCTCTAATAACAGGCACAGTTTCGTTAAACGACTTATTTAAATCAGTAAGTCGATATATTTACAAGCTGCATCAGTCATAAATCGGCGTGGCTAATAATCTGAAAAATCTTTTTGGTATTCTTAGTACAAAATCAACAAAAACAGCCAAAATAAATACAAAAAGAGGCCATCTAACGTTTTTGCCACATTCCATCTTTCGTGTGATGGTAATGGTAAATCCATGGCGCCCGCTTGCGTTCTATTTCCAGTCCACCCTTAACTGCACCGTCAATGATATCCCAGTCCTCGCCGCCCCACGTGACTTTGTTAAAGAAACCTTGTGAAAATCCCCCGAAGGTTTCCCAGTCCCTTTTGTACATTGCTATGGTGCCATAACTATAGTGATACCAGACTCCTCTGGGCATATTGCTACTGCCACCACAATGCAAGAAGACGATTTGAGGAGCGTAAACTGTCTTTCCTTTGGAACAGTGCTGAAATGAAAAAGAAGTCAATTAATATGCGAAAGCGAAAGAATAGTGAGGAGTGGGGGATATCAAATGTATCCTGATTTCGAATTTTTAACGGCATTTTTGGTCACTAAAAACCAGGCTTTTGAGGACAGCAGGAACGGGGTATTCTCGATCCCAGTGCTTACGCTTCTGACTCGGCAGCGGTTAAAACGGCACAGAAAAGCTCTGGGGTCGAGATTGCAGGAGGGAGAAGATGTCTCTGTTGTTTTTTCAATTTCGTTTCTTGACCCACTCAGTTGACGTCATTAGGCCACAAGATCATTTAGAGAAACCAAAGCAAATTGCGCATTCTCTATTGAATTCATTGGTCTGACTTCCATTCATTTTCTATTGAATTCTATTTGGAAACGTCGTTTCCAAATTACACCGCATAGATGTGCACGGGGTCTAATAATAGGGAGTTTTTTGCCTAGTTCCTAGGCCTCATTATTCCGTGCGGCCAAAGCGTTTCGGGTCACGTGGTCTAAGCGAAAATGTTAGGCGTTTTCCGCCCGTTCGCCTCGGATACGTCACCGAAATGAATTGACTATATAGGGACTGGGAAAACACTGTACGGGGACTAGGCAAGGGGGTTTTAAGCAACGACGTTTTTGGACGACGCAAGTCAACCGGAAGTGAGTCCTTTACCCTTTAAATATGCCTGGGTGCTACCTAATTTGTATTGCTGAGTGTCTTTACTCTTATAGAGACGATCTGCTAAAAGATTTGTTCAAAATCACGGCCCAAAATTTCAAAAAGTCCACTTGCTATTGACGCGCGTCGCTGATAAACGTCGTTGCTTAACCTCCCTATTGACAGAGAGCTTACCTTACGTATGTCATTTATGGTCTGACTTCCAATATCAAGATGAAGATCGATGGTAACAACAATAGCGTCCGAATTATTAATAGATTTTATAGCTTCACTGAAAGAGTTTGTGCGCGAATAGCGTCCAGGCTTTATGATAAAATGGTAATTCTTCAAGGTGCTTCTTTGGAAAGCCTGTTCAATGTCAATATCGGGGCTTCCAAAGTCATAAATAACCACGTGTAAATGGTCATCTTTTGTTTCTTGCACGATCTTTTCAACGTTCTTTATAAAATGATGAACCCATCGACCCAGGTTCTTTGCTGTAAGTATTAAGAAGACATCCGCTTTCTTGTCCCATTGCAGACCACTTGGGTAACATAAAGAAGCGTCTTTTCCATTCGGTAGAAATACATATTCCGACAATAAATAGATTTTTCCATCAGTGAGGTCCTGAACAACAAGTTCAAGGAGATATCTCTTCCCTTTCTGAGGGTCAGCTTTCATTTCTACGTGCTTAATGGATCTGAATTTGTATTTCCTGCAGTTTAAAAGAAACATTTTACTCCTGATCAATATTGTCCAATCAGAAACCTATCCATCTGGTGAATATTTACACAGGATCACAAAATCAGCCCAGTTTGTTTTAAAACGAAACAGACAGGAGAATAAGATTACATTAACGCGCGCAAGGAATCCTAGGAATGGGCAAAGAAAACGCGGGCCAGGAGCCCATAAGTGTGGGCTCCTGTGCTCGCTTATTAGCTAAGGGTGACTGTCGCGCAATTTTCACCTGCGTAAATCAGAGGCTCGTGTGTTAAAGGCCGCACATTCACGTAAAAGTTGAGCGAGGTTTAACTTCACGTTTATACCCGATTCCCCGAAAATTCGAATTGAAGGCTCGCTCAAACTCTGAGCAAGTCGTTGTCGAAATTCCAAAACAATTTCACAGCTGACGACTTTTGAAGGACTTTCTAGTTACTTCTAGTTTCGGACCACTGCTCTAACGGTTTCTCTGAACTTTATTTGGCATACAAGAACTTTCAGTCGAGGAACAAATTAGTTTCGCGAGCTTGTAGGGAACTTGACGAGAGAGTACAGTTTCCAGGTCATAATAGAATTTTGATACGCAGTGTTGGCACAAAAAGATGCATATAGATTCGCAAAAGAACATTACCTAAAAATAAAAATCCGACATGCATGTTGCGCGTTTTACCAGTCCAAGACAAACTTCTTTTGCAGGAAGGGTCTTAAAACCGTGTCTGACGTGACTTCCCGCGCTTTATTTATCCAATTAGATGTCAGTATTCACGCAACTTGGAACAACCTGATTTGTTGCAAGAAGGGCATGAACGTGGGTCTGGTAAAACGAGCAACATGGCTTTTTCTTTGCTGAAGTTACGGTAAAACGGGGAACAAAAACGTGCAACTCAGACTTGCTTTGCAACATCACTGAAAGACGAACTGAAGGGGACGTTGCACGTTTTACCTATTCACGAATTAACGTAAACCTTTCTTGAAACAAATTAATTTTATGCACGTTGTTAAAGGTTGTTGCGAAAAATAGAACTATTCCTTTTAGTCTCTGCAACTTGCAGCAACCTGATTTGTGTTTAATTTGTGGGAGGTTAAACGTACAACATCGCTTTTCAACTCGTTCTGCACTTGAGTAATGTAGCAAAACAAGTTGCACATTTTTCTTGCCCTTTTTCCGTAGCTTTTCGTCCCTTGTTGCGAAACAAGTTTGGCCTATTGGCCGGTAAAATTGAGGTAGATAAAAGAAGAAATTTTTTGAAAAACACTATTAGTTTATCTCGAAACCTTTCGACAAGTTGCTAAAATAGATCACGCCCAAGGGCAAATACAATGCTCGAATACTTGCACGACCTTGCACGCTCTTTCCCTGCCAGAATTTTTTCCTTCTTCTTACGTTCTTAGTTCGCGACAATTCCTTAGTTTTTTCAGTGCACTTTGATAAAAGAACTGTTCTTCAAACATGTCGCTTTCTTCTGGTTCTTACATGCTTTCACGGGCCACGCTTCCACGGTTAACAGCCAATTGTTATTGTTGTGTTTCACACACGTCACTAATGTTAATGCAGCTGTTTCCAGCGCGAAATCTAACAGATCTTAAAGTCGAAAGTGGATGCTCCCGTTCTCTAGAATGTTTACCTTTTGTTTGGTAAATAACAGACAATGCAAACATCATAGAACAGTAACATCTCTTTCGAAAATTCTTTCATTCAAATACTTTCGTGAGTCCTCTCTTCTAAAGCAAGTAAAGCGAGTACACTTTCGTTTTCGCTGTAAAGTGCTTCCCATGGCCGCGCCAAATCGCATGAATCCATTACATTCTTTGTGAAAAGATCTCGGGAAAGTTAAGGCAGTTCCAGCTAGAGTAAAATCTCCTTTTTGGTGGTGCTCAGGCACGCAACAACTCGAAGCAAACCATATCGATCGACTCAATCGCTAAGACGCGCAGTCAGAACAAAACTCTTGAGGCCTCACTAGCTTCACTTTCGCGCACCGAGACCCGGGCCGGCCGAGACGTCAGCCATATTTGCATTCGGTGTATTTGATAACGAAAAAAAAATTCCTGCGGCTCAAACATTCCCCATCCCCCCATAACTTTTCTGATGGTCCGTCCCTAAACTCTTAGAAGTGGTAATTAAAGCTGTTTCGTGGTTTTGCATATCAACGACCTTTGGTCATTGGACACGAATTAAATAAGATTTCGTGTAGTCATGACTGTAAACATGTATTACTTGTGTCACCCACTGCTATTTCGATGTACATGTATCTTTGCGGGTGAATACAGCCGTCGAAACTGCATCTACTCTATTCCCAAGAAACCACAACAGCTCAGCTGCGAAGCCAGTTTTGTTTTCCTGATCGCTTGGTTATTCTTAATGGAGATAGCATGTTTTCAAGCGATTATGTAAAGGGATTTTGCAGAAATACTAGAAAATTTTCTGATTGCCGGGCATTTAGTTTTTTAAGACCCCTCCCGGCTGCAGGGCTCATAGCCACAGCGCCGGATAATTCTGTGGCATACAGCTGATGTACTTTGAGTGCAGTATAGAGCTGCTGTATAGGTAGTGGATCTAGTTCCAAGGTACTACATATGAGTATCTTACATGCAAAATCGTCTGGTTATACAGTAATAGCCCGCGTATAAGAACCTGGGTTTTAAGAACCTGTTAGGCTAAAATTTTCTCCACATAAGAACCTATTTAGGCTAAAATTTTAAGTTAGGTTCTTATCAGTGGGGTAAAAGTATAGGTAGAAACTGCTGAATTAAGATCATCATCTAGGACATATGCTGTATTCACTGAACTGCCTAAACGGTACAAATAAATGATTTATACTGTATTATCAGATGATATTTATAATATATATAGTATATTCAGATGAAATTCATATGAAAATATAAGAACCTATTTTAAGAACCTCGGTAGCCTAAATTTGCTTTAAGTACCATTTATATAAGAACCTATTTAGGCTAAATTGAAAAATTCAGGTTCTTATACGCGGGCTATTACTGTATTGACTATATACACACTCTCTATGAAGCAAACGACTTACCCAGCGTAACTTTTCTCGAGTGAAGCAACGTATTTGTCAACTATTGACCGTGCTTCTCGTTCTTCTAAAGGATTTTCAGCCATAAATGCTGGTCCTGGCGCTGGATTCCTAGCTATTCCATCGACATTTGAATACGGAAAGCTGTAAGTTTTGTGAGCGTGTCTATAAACTCCATGGTACTGTCCAAAGCCAACTAAGTTTGCTGGATCAAGAAGATAACTGGGTTTATATTCACAAAAGTTTAACGCCTTGCTTACAGCTGCGCTTTCTAAGTAGCTGGTTGTCTCTGACTTCATATGTTTATTAGCAAATTTAAGGCGTAGTGATGCACAAGCAAGAACGTCCGGCAAATCGTCGTCGTAAACTTTCATTTGAGCTTTATCACTGTCATTATTGTAGGGAGCGAAATACTGCCCACCGATAACTTCAAAGGCATTTTTATCCGGTCTCTTCCATGAAAGTTGAATTTGAGCGCCGTCGTTATTCTCTGAGCCACGTGCGTATAATATGTCTATGTAGTATGTAGAATGGGCGGCCAACTTCACACCGAGCTTAGAAGATTCTTGAGGCTTTGTTGGATAATGAGCGACTTTCGCTCCATCTTTCCAACTAATACTTTTACTCAGCCAAACCTCGACAACTCCATTTGACGCAACGGTGAAAAGGTATTCGCCAGTCACATTCGGCCGAAGAAATCCCAGTAATCGAATGCCATCAACATCTTTTACAGATGAAGTGATGTAGACGTTTTTTACGATGCTTCGCGAATCTGGTGCATTCGGAAAGATTGGGAAATTGCAAAGTTGTTCGAGACTTCTCTGACAATTCTTTGTCCATGTATGTTGATTCAAACCTTTGAGGAAGTGAACAACCTTTGCCTTTGTTGTTGGTTCGTTTTCCATATGAACTTCTTCTGTCTGATTCAAACCTTTGAGGAAGTGAACAACCTTCGCCTTTGTTGTTGGTTCGTTTTCCATACGAACTTCTTCTGTCTGTATAAGGGCCACCTCAGTAGGCTGGATCGATGATCGTCCTCGACCAGAAATAGAATAAACAGCTAATACAATATACAGACAGACGACACAAACAGCTACCACAAGTAATCTCTTCATGGCGAGAAATTTCACACAGACAGCGGAATGGTGTGAGGGCTCATGTAATTTTTCTTTCGTTTTGATAAAATCAGTGAAAAATCGCAGTTTCTAATGATTAAGCAGTGAAAACTAGACTCACCGACGGGAGACACAGGCTACTTTAAAACCCCGGGTATAAAACCCATCAATACACGTGGTAGAGTAGCATGCGAGCAGGCTCACTGCACTTGTGCGAACTCGAGGAAAATTATTTTGGCGGCCGAGCCGCCATCCAGCGAGGAAAAGTGAGCCTGTACGCCTGCTATTGATTGTAGAGTAAAATTACACCCTTTTCAAAGTGTCAAGATACTATCCAATTGGAACAAAGCAAATGTAAACAAACTGACAGGAGGTCAAATGCGGTCAGAGACAAACCCCAAAGAAATCAATTGCGTGAAGCAGACCACTTTTTTTGCGACAAGCGGCAGAAATAACATTTCCATACCATTATCTACCCGCCAGAAGCGGGCGGCAACAAACCTCATGACCTCTCAGTGTGAGACAAGTGACAAAAAGGTTACTGAGTTTGCTTAGTCCAAATTAAGAATCCTCCAGAGCATAACTGAATCTACCCGTTGGAAAGAAAACTGTAAATATAACTGAGCGGCATTTGAGGCAAAAGTAAGACAGGCCTACCGACGCTATGTTTGTGCTGCGTGACCTTGGTTTTTGTCATCTTTAATGTATAGGTCAAATCGAAGCTTCAACATGCCCCCCCGGGCAAACCCCCGGGCATTTGACTTTTTTGAAAATTATTGTTCAAATTCCCCCCTACCCGGGCCAAAATGCCGTTCAAATGCCCCACACTACGGTCCATTCAGGTGATCAAATGCCCCCACCCCGGGGACATTTCACAAGCACAAAAATGACAGAAGGACGGCGTAAACGCCTTCAGTTGTCGAACAAAATCTTTATAAATATAACAAAAACTGAGAAACACTGTTAGCGTATTTACTACGAACAAAAAACTCGTGCAAAGCGGTGGAAATCGCTGCTACAAGGTCACTGAATGCTCAGCTTTTCTTCATCATGCAACATACAGAGCGTTCTATAAAAAAAGATCCCACCTATAGAGATTACTACATCATGACCATTTCACTGACATGCATCATCGCTCACCGTATAAATTAACATACTTGCAGTAGGTCAAAGTAGTTGACCTGAGCTTTTTATTTTATTTTATTTTATTTTATTCTATGTTGTTGCATTGAATCGCTGGTATAGGTATTGTATTTCATTGTAAACACAACAATAACATATATATACATTCATACATTCAAAGCCTGAATCCAATATTAAAAAATTTAAAATTCAAATACTTCAAAAACGGCACAAAGCTTGTTTAAGCCCTTTCCTCGTAACCAATTGGCCACAAAGGCACAATCTTTTCCACCAAAATCCTCTAACACCGCGTCCCCCATCATAGCTCCCCACGCCAAAGACTTTACATGAAATCGAGGGCGCAGTTCAAATTCCCCACCCCTAAGGCATGGGGATCAAATTCTCCACCCCCTGGAAGACTCTGATAATCAAATTCCCTCCTCCCCGGGACGCAAAGGTGTCAAATGCCCGGGGTATGCCCGGGGGGGCATGTTGAAGCTTCGATTTGAACGATACATTATGTTGCCCGTCCTCGCCTGTCACTTTTAACCAATTAGATCGCTGCGTTCGTCAGCGAACGCGGAGTATTAAAAAATCAATAGCTGGCGCTGCATGCTCACTTTTCCTCTGCCCATTCTTCTCGAAGGGTGGCGGCTCCTCAGCTAAAAAGTTTCCCCAAACCTACCAGTGAGCATGACCCCCAGGCTAGGGGTAGAGATGATCAATAGACGATAATCTATAACGTGACTAATTTGATCTAACCGGAAATTCCAAAAGTTATCGTCGTTCTACGCGTGTGTGACAGGGTCAATTTGGGAGTAATTTTCTGTTTCAACAAGCAAGTCCGGTGCGTTACTTGTGACTGCTATCATGTATTCATGATTGAAGGCAGTAAAAAACACAATAGTTGTGAAGGCGGCTTTTGAACTTCAGGGTTCACGTGTTTTTGGAAAGTGTTGTAATATAAAGCCATTGAAAATTGAAACAAAATACAACGTGTCACTACTGTAATTTCAAAAAAAAAGTATGAACCTCAACTCCAAAACTGTACTCTGCGTCCATTAACATTCCCCTATTTAAATAGCTTAAAGATGTAACACAAAACAATACAACTTGCCAACAAGCGAATTTTCCCTGATTATTCTCTGTGACTATAATTTGTAAATTTCCTATGTTGCTATTTGATGGAATGCATAATGATGTCAAACTTCCTATTGTGTAATTTTACCAGTGAATCCGCTCATCATCTACGGCCCGTTCATGTAAATAGATAGAGTGTTAAAAGTGAACATAACTTATTATTTCATTTGTTATACACAACACATCTAAATACATTTCAATCCGCTTAGTTCAACACCGTTTAAAATTTTGCTCATCGAGGTCATGTCACTTACTGATGTTTGCTTGTCTTTCAACATGTTCAAATTTACCCAATGAATAAAACACAGGTTTAGAGCCTAAATTCATACATATATTTCATTCACAGGCAAATCTTTCCACCGTTTTGCAAGCATTTTGCAAGAGGTTCTGATTCAGTCAAACCTGGTTTAACTAATCATGTTTGGTTCAGGTGTGAACACACAAGGTTTTCTTTATCACCATTAGCATAACAGGATGTAATAGAAACGAAATTTCACTTCCTTTAAAAAAATAACAGTCAAAGGTAGAAAAAAATGATTGTCAATTTCATGGGCCTTCAAAATCCCATATGTATGGCTGCGGAATAGGTGAACCGTCAGACAGTTTGTGGAATAAAGAAAACTTGTAGTCATGCAATGCTTGCTAATTTACATCAAATGGATTTATGTTTCGCATATATACTTTAAGCTTACATCACTACGTTTTGTTTGTACAGAACCTTTGGAAACTAGACGCATTTCCACTTCGTGAGCTCGGCGTCCGTATAAAAGAAATCACAATCTTCAAATGCTGCTAATCAGTATTGAAATAACAACAGTCTGTATGCATAATAATAATAATAATAATAATAATAATAATAATCCATTTATATAGCGCCTTTTCTACAAGATTCAGAGGCGCGGTTTACAAAAATTCGATAAAACTAAAAAGTAAAAAACATAAACCGCTGGAAACGATGCTTGCGTTACTATAACGTATTAGATTGCAGTAACGGAAAAGCCGTAAGCAAAAAAGCAAGTATATAGTTACATAAAAGATAATTGCAGCACTCAATTCATTTTCTCAGCTGGCTTAAATATAGAGGCATTTTTTGACTGCAGAACAGTCCGTATTTTTGAGTATTCAAGTACGCGCGAGCAGTCAAACAAAAGGTCTAGAACGAGGCTGAAGACAGAGAGCGAGACTGGGGAGAGACGCTAAAAATACAGCTTGCATCGAAATTTAGCCAATGGGAATTGCCCGTGGCTGGGAGAGGCGAGTAATTTGAACGAATATAACGTACGCAAAACGGACAGTCCGTATTTTCACCGTCTCTCCCCAGTCTCGCTCTCTGTCTTCAGCCCCGTTTCAGACCTTTTGTTTGACTGCTCTAGCCTCACACGCCCTACGGGCATGTGAAGCTCGCGCGCGTAAGTCTTACGCCACGCTTTACCGACTTTTTTTTTCTGATTTTGAGGGAAAAAAAACGACTGTTTTACAGTCTAAGAGGCATTCCAAGACCCTAAGACCCTTGAGTTGATCAGAAACACTCTGTTCAAATTCCGTTAATAGTACACTTCATTCAACGCTTTGCTCAGCAATTAAATTATTTTTGTTAGTCAGGAACAGCAATGTCTTCTTGTTTATACATGTTTCAAGAAAAGCCTTGGAGAAAAAAAACGTGGCCAGATGAGTGTAGTTGTTAAATACACGAAGACGAAAACACTCCAGCGACAAGCATTAAAGTCTGAATTTTTCCATGAGTATGCGACATTATCTACAATTAAAAATCTATTCTTTAGAGGTAAAGAGTAATGTTGAGAGCTCACTACTTCGATAAGGTTCACTCAGAAGAGTTAGTCAGTCTCTGAATGAAATGAACCGTTTGCTCGCCATCTTTTACTGACCGAATACAGATGCCTTTTCACCGTGCCTCAGTTAGCCATGTACTCTGTGCTCTGGTTTTGAACGCTGACACATACTCTTACATTTTGGGCACGCGCTGTATGCGCCAGAGGGCAATTTGGGCCAGAAGAAAAAAAAACCCCTTCCTATTTTATAGCTCGGCCGGTTCTCATGGAAACGCCCAAGCAACAAATGATTTGGAATTGATTGACAGTTTCGCATGTATATAAAAGGGCTTTTTTTAGAGAATCAAGAGCAGACTCGTACCCAGTCGCTATTTATTTGTTTTTGCGGTGAGAGAAGATTGGGGTTTGGTTGAAGCGCGCGGGGACTCATGGGAAGGGACGAAGGAAAAACAGCGATTCATAGCCTTGCAGGTCGTTTTTTTTAAAAGGTAACGGCACTTTTCTTGAATTTTTTGTGCTCAAAATCCTTTGTGGCGTTTATTTCTTTATTTTTATCAATAAAAACGTTTTCTCTATGGAGCAAAAAGTATTTTTATGCCTTTTGTGGCGTTTTAGTCGTTTCGCTTGCATGGTGTTCGCGCGGGAAGATTCCCGGGAAAGCACTGTTGACTATTTCGACAGTTCTTTTAGGGAACTGTGGTTTGAAGGTTGGTAATTCTTTTCTCTATTTTTCTCTTTCATTAGGTTGTTATTGAGGCATCTCGCAGCACCAGCTCGCACTATAAAGGATCTATATTCAGAATACTCACTTTAATACGCTTCTAGCAATGAGTGTATATTTCAAAATTTATACCAACAAGTTTGCTAGTTTTTGTAAATTATGCTCATTTTAGCAAAAAATACAGAAATTATGCTTTTCCCTTTTTCTTTAAATTTGACAAAAACACCTGAATTACTTAATGCAGCAAACAAGTTAAGAGCAAACGCACAAGTTAAAGCAGACGCCACTTCCCGGGTCACTTCCTGTGGCAACAAGGCCCCATGAATGAAACAACTGATAAGCAGGCCAAAAGAAATAATGTTGTTGCTTAAATTTGCCTGTAACAGTGACCTCGGGCCGAAAAAAATGGTTGCATGATCAGTAAATAACAATTTTGTGCTGCAAAACTGGTCAAAAGTGCAACTTATACTGGCAGTGTATTTTTCAGAGAACAGATGAAAATTATGCTCGTGATGACGAATCATGAAATTATGCTATCACAATCCCGATCTATTAAAGCTTTGCTAGGGCGAAAAGAATTCGCGAGAGACACGTCCCATCTCTTCCAAAACCTTTTTTTTCCTTACTCCATGATTCTTAAAGAACTGACACTTTAAGTGGTTTATGCAATCACTGAATCAATTTCGCTTTACTGAAATACTCTCAGGGGATGATCATTGTAACTTTTGCGCTGACTCGTCTCCAGACGTCTTTGCAAGCAGTTTGGGCTGACTCTTTCACAGTCGCGTTTGTGATACAGGGAGGAGAGGGAGATGAGAAAGCTAGGGTAGCCTGAGCGCCCAAATTCTCCCTCCTCCTTCCTCTTTTAACGCCTGTCACATAGGCTATGAGAAGGGAGTACGAGTACAAAATTAACGAACACAACCAAAATAAAAACAAAAAGAGGCCATCTAACGTTTTTGCCACATTCCGTCTTTCGTGTGATGGTAATGATAAATCCATGGCGCCCGCTTGCGTTCTATTTCCAGTCCACCCTTAACAGCACCGTCAATTATATCCCAGTCCTCGCCACCCCACGTGACTTTGTTAAAGAAACCTTGTGAAAATCCTCCGAAGGTTTCCCAGTCCCGTTTGTACATTGCTATCGTGCCATAACTATAGTGATACCAGACTCCCCTGGGCATATTGCTACTGCCACCACAATGCAAGAAGACGATTTGAGGAGCGTAAACTGTCTTTCCTTTGGAACAGTGCTGAATGGAAATAGAAGTCGATTAATGTGCGAAAGCGAAAGAACAGTGAGGAGTGGGGGAATATCAAATGTATCCTGATTTCGAATTTCTAAAGGCATTTTTGGTCACTAATGAAAACGAGGCTTTTGAAAACAACAAGAGCGGGTATTCTCGATCCTCGTGCTTACGCTCCTGACTCGGCAGCGGTTATGCACAGAAAAGCTCAGGGGTCGAGATTGCAGGAGGGAGGAGTTGTTGCTGTTATTTTTTCAATTTCGTTTCTTGACCCACTCAGTTGACGTCATTAGGCTGCAAGATCATTTAGAGAAACCAAAGCAAATTGCGCATTCTCTATTGAATTCATTCGTCTATTACGTCTATTCTAGGCCGGCCGAGACAGACTTGACTTGACCAACTTTACCAAAGGTCGTTTCCAAGTGTATTAAATCGCACAGGTGTGGACGGGGCCCAATAATAGGGAGTTTTAAGCAACGACGTCGACGCACTTCAACCGGAAGTGGGTCCTTCAGCCTTTAAATATGCCTTGATGCTACCAAATTTGTATTGCTAGGTGTCTTTACTCTGACAGAGACGATCTGCTAGAACATTTGTTCAAAATCACGGCCCAAAATTGCAAAAATTCCACTTCCGGTTGACGCGCGCCGCTCAAAAACGTCGTTGCTTAAACTCCCTATTGACAGAGAGCTTACCTTGCGTATGTCATTTATGGTCTGACTTCCAATATCAAGATGAAGATCGATGGTAACAACAATAGCGTCCGAATTATTAATAGATTTTATAGCTTCACTAAAAGAGGCTGTGCGCGAATAGCGTCCAGGCTTTATGATAAAATGGTAATTCTTCAAGGTGCTTCTTTGGAAAGCCTGTTCAATGTCAATATCGGGGCTCCCAAAGTCATAAATAACCACGTGTAAATGGTCATCTTTTGTTTCTTGCACGATCTTTTCAACGTTCTTTATAAAATGATGAACCCATCGACCCAGGTTCTTTGCTGTAAGTATTAAGAAGACATCCGCTTTCTTGTCCCACTGCAGACCACTGGGGTAACATAAAGAAGCGTCTTTTCCATTCGGTAGAAATACATATTCCGCCAACAAATAACTTTTTCCATCACTGAGGTCCTGAACAACAAGTTCAAGGAGATATCTCTTCCCTTTCTGAGGGTCAGCTTTCATTTCTACGTGCTTAATGGATCTGAATTTGTATTTCCTGCAGTTTAAAAGAAACATTTTATTCCTGATCAATATTGTCCAATCAGAAACCTTTTACTCTGGTGAAAACGAATATGAAGATTTAGACAGGATCACAAAATAAGCCTAGTTCGTTTTAAAAGGAAAAAGACTGGGCCCAGTTGTTCGTACGCTGGTTAGCGCTAACCCGGGGTTAAATTTTAACCTGGGTTTCTTTTACTTTTTAGCAAAAGCACTCTCTCGAATAATTTTCTCTATTATTTTTAGAGTATCCAATCATCAAATTGTAGGCAAAGAGAATTAAACTGAATTTGCTCTTTGAGCTCTGATTTGTTAGTTTCAAATTTCGTACTAACCCCGGGTCATCTTAAACCAGCTTTGAACAACCCGGCCCTGAGGACCGTTTCTCGAAAGTCCCGATAATTAACGGGCCCGGTAAGCTGTTCCCGTTTACATTAAAGATCGAGGTTTCAATAGTTTTGCATCTAACATGATAAAACTATCAGTTAATGAAACAAAATGGAGTAGTTCGCTAGCCAGGACTCGTGCTCTTATTTTTTATATTTCGATTTGAATATTTGATTTCGGGCCCGAAAAGTTACCGGGAAGTTCGAGAAACGGGCCCCTGGAGAATAAGATTACATTAACGCGCGTAAGGAATCCTGAGAAAGGGCAAAGAAAACGTGCGCTTATTAGCTTCGGTTGACTGTCGCGTAATTTTCACGTACGTAAATCAGAGGCTCGTGTGTGAAAGGCCGCGCATAAACGTAAAAGTTAGGCGAGGTTTAACTTTAAGTTTACGCGCGATTTCCCGAAAATTCCAATTGCAGGCTCGCTCTACCACTGAGAAAGTCGTTGTCGAAGTTCCAAAACAATTTCACATTAGCTGATGAATTTTGAAGGACTTTCTAGTTACTTCTAGTTACGGTTCACTGCCTCAACGGTTTCTCTGAACTTTATTTGGTATACAAGAACTTTCAGTCGAGGAACAAATTAGTTTGGCGAGCTTGTAGGAAACTTGAAATTTTCAGTTGGTAAAGTGACGAGAGAGTACAGTTTGCAGGTTATGATAAAATTTTGATAAGCAGTGTTGGCACAAAAAGATACATAAATATTCGCAAAAGAACATTACCTAAAACTGATAAAAATCTGTACATGCTGCGCTTTTACTAGTCCAAGACAAATTTCTTTTGCAGCAAGTGTCTTAAAACCCGTGTATGACTTGACTTTCGGCGCTTAATTTATCCAATTAGATGTCAGTATTTCACGCAACTTGGAGAAACCTGATTTGCTGCAAGAAGGGCTTGAACGTTGGTGGTAAAACGGGGAACAAAAACGTGCAACTCAGACTTGCCTTGCAACATCACTGAAAAACGAATTGAAGGCGACGTTGCACGTTTTACCATTCACGAATCAAACCTTTCTTGAAACAAATTAAGTTTTTGCATGTTGCTAAAGGTTGTTGCAAAAAAATAGAACTATTCTTCTTTAAAAGTTTCTGCAACCTGCGGCAACCTGATTTGGCTTTAATTCGTGGGAGGTTAAACGCAGAACATCTCTTTTCAACTCGTTCTGCAGTAATGCTGCAAAACAAGTTGCACATAGTTTCCTGCCCTTTTTTCCGTAGCTTTTCGTCACTTGCTACAAACAAGTTTGCCCTTGGCCGGTGAAATACGCTGCATGTACAGATTTTGTTGTAAAAGGTAGAACTTCTCTCTGCTACCTGCCACAACTTTTCGCAACCTCCAACAACCTGATTGGCAGGAAAGGTTATTTTACTCGTGAGTGGCAAAAAGCCCAGCACAGCTATTCAACTGATTTTACCGTACTCTTAACTTACTTATGCCGGCTGTCACGTTTGTAGCAGTTCGAGATACTTAAGCGCGTTTCGGTCAACGGACTACGGAGAAAACTGTGGACTGTGGACTATTTAAGTAGTAACTTTTTATCAGTTTGAATTATTATTTTTAAATAGTTTTTATTTTTTTTTATTAACTTTTTGATGCTTTTTATAATTGTTATTAGTAGTCTTTAGATAGTCATTTTACGATAATTCTCTTTCGTACACAAGAAGAATGTACATAGGGTATATATTTTATAATATTTCATATTCTTGAATCTGTAAATAGTAAAATTTAATAATTATTATATTTATCATTGGGATGAACATAGAAATTTTCTTTGTTTTTTAGTTTATAGACAGTTGTTTACATTTGCTCTGTTGAAAACCACCAGACCACCAAGAAGTCTTTTTTTAACTATAGTTATACTAAATTTGTACTTAATTTTCAATTTGAGAAGAGTTTAATAAAGTATTATTATTATTATTATTATTATTATTATTATTACCTTTTTGCACTTCATTGACAATAACAATGATAATATGACAAAAAAAAGTAAGAAGGCGGAAATAAAAGAGGTTAAGAAAAAACAAACCTCTATACAGTACTGCAATGTAGTAGTTAAAGATAACAATGATTTGTGTTATTTAAAATACGATGGTCGTTTTTATGAATTGGAAAAAATATGTCTTAGTAATGCACACACAGTTGTTTGCTAGCTCGGAATAGGCTTTACGCACATTGGGGAAGGTCGCACAGAGGAAAAAAATAATTGAGCTAAAATCAGTAATAGAAGTGGCCGAGGAGAGGTTTCCATTTCTCGGACTCAGCATTGAGACTTTTTAATTCTGTTTTATGAGTTAGTTGTTTTAGTAAACGTAGAATGGATGTAAGACTAGGAGTCCCACCTTTTGTGTTGCAAACCCAAATGTCATATCGGCTCAATAAACAGCAAAAGTTATAAATTTGTAGCTTTTTACTTGCAAGAAGTTGATGTAACTTCTAACACTGTCCCTACTGAAGTAGCAATGATATTGCTCTGTATCGTAACAGCGTTGTGCAATTTTCTGCACGAAGCCAGTTCATTTGCTCCAAATTAAACCACAGTGATTTTGTTATAAGTTCAAATTGTATAAACTGCATAGTACATATCAAGCAAGCGTCTTATCTTCATAGAGAAGATTCACTTTAATTTTAAAATCAGGCTATGTTAACCCTTACACAGGACAGCTTTTGCGGCGCCACGGAAAGCATACCGGATAGGGCTTCTGTTTACAGATAAGAACGGGGATTTCGGTACGATTTCTCCTCTTAACGGAGCGAAGCTACGTCGCCCTCTCGATCGAAAGTGGAGAGTCACATATCGGATAGTTTTTTCCACACTTTGGTCCAGTGTGACTAGGTATTCGCACAATAGCGGAAGTGAATAAGTAGGAAAGAAGATTGGAACCTACTGAGACGTAAGTAAATACTCGGGAGTGAGCGCTAGGATTTAGTTCACCAACTGCTCCGACACGATGTTGGATGTATGAACGACTTGTTCCACCTCTGCGCCGTTGCCGTTCATAATATACCTGCTATTCGGTATATTAATAATGTGTACACGGCCTGAGTGAAGAAACTAGGAGAAATCTCTGCAGCTGAATTTTCTCTGGTAAATTAAAGAAATAACTGCGTACGTGCTTCTGGTGAAGAGTGGTCTCCCGGCTGCAACAGTCGCAATATCAACCAACAAACTACCCCGGCTTTAATCAGCAAATAATGCGAAAAAAAAACTTGCAGTTTATGGGCCTGGTCTGTCCAAGATTTTACAGATAAGTACATGCAAAAATAAGGAAAATGAGATTGTTTGAAAAGACCACGTGGCATTGTTGAACAGTCGCCTTTGTTCTGGTTTTCTTTTTGTTAGAAAAACAAAGCAAATATTTGGAAATGACGATTTTAGATTTTTATGTCAATTCTTAATGAAATATTTGAGAAAAGCTTCATCATTTCCTTTGGTTTTTTTTGTATCAGCAGCTTGCAAGAAAGATCTGAAAGGTCACAAAGTAACAAAATGATCTATTGGAAGTCCTGTGAACACTTTTTTCACATGTGTAAAATAACAGACCAGTTCCTTAGTCACCACTGAGGCGTAAAGGCCGATATAGACGAGTGTTCAGCGAGTTAAATCATAGTTAATTGAGTGGAATGGTTATGAAACCCGTCAGACTCCTTTGTTATATGTTTTTGTGGACCTGAAAGTGCACAACGTTCAAAAGAATTCCTATCATTTTGATTGTATTGACCAATAAAAACGTTGCATTAATTTATTCCGTAACAATTTGCCAACAGAAAACAAAGGATTGTGCACTTTCACGGTGCTTTGAACATAAACTGCAGCACTGTTGTTTTTATCATTGATGTTTGCCGCTTTTCATAACCAGTCTCCTCTAATAACTATGGTTAAATGAATGCTTCTTAATTGTCGCTAGTCTCAGGTTCAAAATTGTGAGGAGTTAAGTTGACATATTTCTCCGTCCTTACCCAGTGTTGAGAATGAGCCGAGTGCATGAGGTTTCAATAGAGGCCTCATCGTCGAAGACAGTTTTGTGTCGGTTTCTGCGAAAGGAAAATTGTTTCGCTTGAATTACGACGTCGACTGTATTACAATGCGCAAGTATTTGAGTCGATCGAACTGAGATGGTTGTGTAAAATTCCTCCAACTTGTTTAGGGGTTGATCTGACAACAACACGATATGAAAGACTGAAGTGTGACTCAATGAAATGATTGTGCTTCATATAACCCGCGGAATTAGGTGGAGCTGGAGAATCGAACTTCATTTAATTTCTAAATTTTCTTTATGTTTCGGCAGGAACTTAGAGAGGAATATAAATAGTGTGGTATTCATTACGAAATAACATAACGATGATAGGCAACTTTCTTTGCTGTTCATTTGTGGGTTAAGACACAGCACAATTATTCTGTGGCATACAGTTGTATGCTTTGAGCGCAGTAAAGCTGTATATCTTGAGGTCGATGCAGTTCCAATGTACTACAAATGAGAATTTTGATATGCATAATCGTCTCGTTATATTGACTATACACACTACTTATGAAGCAAACGACTTACCCATCGTAACTTTTCTCAAGTGCAGTTATGTATTTGTCAACTACCGACCGTGCTTCTTGTTCTTCTAAAGGATTTTCAGCCATAAATGCTGGTCCTGCCGCTGGATTCCTAGCTATTCCATCGACATTTGAATACGGAAAGCTGTAGGTTTTGTGAGCATGTCTATAAACTCCATGATACTGTCCAAAGCCAACTAAGTTTGCTGGATCAAGAAGATAACTGGGTTTATATTCACAAAAGTCTAACGCCTTGCTTACAGCAGCGCTTTCTAAGTAGCTGGTCGTCTCTGACTTCATATGTTTATTAGCAAATTTAAGGCGTAGTGATGCACAAGCAAGAACGTCCGGCAAATCGTCGTCGTAAACTTTCATTCGAGCTTTATCACTGTCATTTTTGTAGGGAGCAAAATACTGCCCATCAATAACTTCAAAGTCAGTTAGATCCGGTCTTTTCCATAAAAGCTGAATTTGAGCACCGTTATTTTCTCCCCCACGCGCGTACACTATGTCTATGTAGTATTTTTTATAGGCCAACAACTTCACACCTAATGAAGACTCTTCAGGCTTGGCTGGGTATTGAGCGATTTTCGTTCCCTCTCCCCAACTGGTGCTTTTACCTAGCCAGACCTCCACAAATCCATTTGACTTAACGGAGAAAAGGAATTCGCCAGTCACATTCGGTTTAAGATATCCCAGTAATCGAATGCCATCAACTTCTTTCGTAGACGAGGTGATGTCAACATTATCTGCAATGCTTCGTATATCAGGTGCCTTGGGAAATATTGGAAAATTGCAAAGATGTTCGAGACTTTTTTGACAATTCTTTTCCCACGTATGTTGATTCAAACCTTTCAAGAAGGGTACGACCTTTAAGTCGCTTGTTTCTGTGTCGTTTTTGTCTACGTTCACCAGCAAATATTTCGCCGCGTCCAGCACATTTTTAGCCGCTTCTGTTCGTTGGAACAGCTCAAAAAGCTCAGTAGGCTTCGATGACGGTCGACCAAAAATAGAGAAAAACACTAGTATTACATACACAGCGACGAGACCAGTGGCTACGACCAATAATTTCTTGACTCGAGACATGCTGTACTATCAGCGGGTTTAACTTGTGCCAATGCAAATGTAGGATACCTACTAATTACTTTCCTCCGCTTTTCTCTGACAGTTCTAAGTAACAACCGACGCAACGAAAGCAATCCCCAACAGTCCCGACAGAAGTGAAGTTTAGCTTTGTGTTCGTACTTCTTTACTAGCTCGTGAAGACTTAGAGTGTTTTCTTCTTTGTTGCCGGAGTCACGCAAAAGTTGTTCCCATGAGCAAAAATAATTTGCATGTTGCAGAAAAATTATTCCGCATGCTCTGTGTTCCAAAAGACAGGTGTAGCCAGCTCCTATGGTTACGGAGCATGTCATCTCCGTTTTAGCCGCTGTGACGAACTGTGACTAAGAAAAGAATGACCGCACTTGTAGTTATAAAAAGCGACTCTGCTCTGGTCCTGATGTCTTAGCTACAAACTTCGGACCATTACTTTTTATGAAGGCCCGTTTTAATACACAGGATACGTGATTCGTGTGTGTTTTTGTGCGTGCGATTTTTTTGACTGCACTTTTTGGCGCGATATGATCAGTGATATATGATGATCAGCGATGTATGGTGATTTCAATGGAATTAATGCCATAATGAATCACTTTATGTACTACAAAAGATCCGTATAATTACTTCTCTCCTCCGCGCACAGCTTCTAAGCCCCTTTTCTCTAAGCATAATATTCTTTCACTCCATTCTATCTATAAATTCCATGTTGCCTGTTTTGTATTCTGACATTTTAATAGCCTTTTAACTACTCCAGTTTCCTCGATCCTACATTTTAATTTTGAACATCACGATTATATATATGACTCGTTCACGTTTTAATCCGCATAAAACCTGTCAAATTAAGTATTCTGTTTATTTTGCGTGGAGTTAAGTTATGCTTCAGTTAGTATGATATTTACTGTAGCTTATGCTAATAATGTGCCCGTTAATCTTAACGAATATAAATCTTGGCTTTTTGTGATTATTATTTCAAACATGACAGTGGCCAACTCGAAAGCCTCGGCTTCTTTGGCCGCTATGCAAATCCTCTCTAGATTTTCCATTTATTGAATAGAACATTTCTGTAAGAAAATTATATAGTCTGTCTGTGTACGATTAAGTCATCTGAACAGTACAAATAAAGGTGAAGTTGAAGTTGAATTTATATCCCTTAATTTTATAGCACAGCTCAAGTGCCGCGCGTAGGCGGAGCCCCAAAGCTAACTAAAATGAAATGTGGTAATCTACCCATCCGAGAAAATTTGGTAATCACGTTACCGTACACCGAGAGAGCGACCGTCCGTCCGCACCACAGGCATACCAATTTAAAATAACTCCATCAACAGGTATGGCAACCCAAATGCAACTCAAAGTTTTATTTTGAACGAAATCACAAGGCCGCCCGGACAACAACAAAGTCGTGTCTATTTCGGCGTTATTTTTTGTGTTTACACTAACGTTGATAACAGAGAAAGAACTATAGCGAGTTATTGAAAACAAAGGAGATAAAAGCGAACATAAACACAGGAAACAAAATATTGAGTAAGCTCATACGACAATTCCTCCATAAAAATAATGTGTAACTAGGACGTTTGACGTTTTAGACCCTGTTTACATGGAGTGGGGTACCCCGGTCTAGTGGGGTAGGTTTCCTTTGTTTTGTGTCCCTCAGAGCGTGAAAACAAAAGAAACCAACCCCACTAGACCGGGGTCCCCCACTCCAGCATGTAAACAGGCCTTTAGTCGTACGAAACAGAGTTGTAGTCTTGCAAAACAACGGCAAGGGACAGACAAAAAAGCGTGCTGCACGTGCAAATTTGTTTTTTGCTAATTAGAGGAAAAGGGTGCTGCACGTGCAATTTGTTTTTTTGCTAATTAGATCTATTAGTCTCGAAGCCATTTTCATTGTTGTCCCCGTTTAGCATTACAAGATTTAATTTTTTTGTTTACACGTATTATTAACAGAGCTTCGCTTTTAGCCCTGGCTAAATCTATTTATTAGCGGAGCACTATGGGTAGGAAAATTTGGTAACTTATGAAACTATTCGTAATTCCACGAGTTGTTGTGAGCTTAGCAATCCTGAGTCTCCTGAGTGCATCCGTAACCGGCAGCAGTGCACGATGAAGCGTTTACCATGTGTTTTATAAGGAATTGAAATTTAAGAGGAAACGTTTGAATTTGTTAACCGACTGAGTAAGGAAAAGAGGTGAGTGTTGTTTTTGTTGTTGTCATCTCCGCGAGCTGTGCGGGCTGTGGCGTGAGATCATTCTTTGCAAAGTTGTTTTCTCTCCATAACAATTTTGCCGTAAATTAATATTTTTTTGGCACCTAAATATGGATTTTACAATCATTTTAGAGTACACTTTCTCTCAGTTTCAGGATAAAAACATAAGATTAACTGTGAGGAAAAAAAGTATATTCACGTAAACAGTACTGCTTTGAGCGTGCCCTGCAATAATAAAATTTTGCTGCATTGATCGCTTTGATAATGTTATATTGTTATATATTGAGAGAGGCTAGAGTTGCACTCGGCTGCGCCTCGTGCAACTCTTACGCCTCTTTCGTGCTCTCCAAACTTCCCGCGTGCTCAATATCTCCACATACGCACGCTGACGCATGAACTATTGTTAAATATCCTACATACATACATACATACATACATAAACTTTATTTATCCTCGGATTTTAGTGTAGCTTACATAGCTAGTATCTCCGATCCTAACTAATTTTAAAAGTTACAACATATATAATATAATATTAATTAATGTAGTATTAACTAAAACTGTGCACTAACAATTTGCGCTTAAATTCACTATAATCTACAGTCTTTCTAAAGTGATCAGGTAGAGAATTCCAGTACTTAACAGATGAATAGCTAAAGGAATTTAGACCATATGTGGTTGTAGACGGCTTAGGAAGTGATAAAATATTAGTACCCCGTAGGGAGTAAGCAGTAGATCTTAACTTGATCAGTTGTTTTAAATAGCACGGATATTTACCAAAATGGAGACATTTGAATATACAAATCATCATATTTTGTATTCTCCTGTTGGCTAAACCACACACACCAGCCTTGTCTAGAAGAGCATCATAGTTCGAGTCCCAGTCCTTTAAAACAAATCTTAAAATACGTCTATTTAAGGTGTCCAGTTTGACAGAATCTTCTGAATTACAAAAGTGCCATATCATTGAACAGTAGTGAAAATGGGGTAAGATAAACGCTTTATAAAGGCGAAGCATAATTTCGGATGAGATAAGTTTGCCAAATCTTTTGAAGACACTGAACTGATTATTTATTTTTTTGCATACAGAGGATATGTGATCCTTGAAATTAAGTTCATTGTCTAGAGATATTCCAAAAAGATCCAGGCATCTTGTGGTTAAAAAGGAGAAAGGGTAATCGGTTTTGCCAAGAACCATCCCTTGATGTTTAGCAGGGTTTGCTTTCATCCCATTGTCTTCGAACCATTTATTTGCTATTAGTACATCATGATAGATCCGCCGTTCCAAGGCCACTGGGTCTACATCAGATGAGTGCAGTTGGCAGTCATCGGCATAAGTGTTTAACTTTACAGACTTAATGTGAAAGATGAGGTCGTTGAGGAACATGTTGAAAAACATGGGCCCCAGGACGCTGCCTTGAGGCACGCCCCGCTTCACACTCATCCAATCCGAATAAGTATCACCAATTTTCACTCGCTGCCTTCTATCCGTCAAGTAGTCACCGATAAGGGCGCAGCTGGATTCGTGCAAGCCATACGCTTTCAGTTTTGCTAATAGCAAAGCATGAGGTATGGTGTCGAAAGCCTTTGACAAATCCATTGATATAACCGCCACGATCTCTTTATTGTCTAGACTGCGCCTCCAGTCCCCAGTCAGCCTAAGTAAAGATGTCTCACAGCTATGGTGCCTCCTGTAGGCAGATATGTATTCAGACAATATGTTCTGGTAAAAGTCGCCCATTTGAGCTGAAAGTAGCCTCTCAAAAACGTTATTGAGCGCAGGTAATACGGTCACTGGTCGATAATTGCTTTTGTTTTTCCTGCACTATTAACTGATTCACCTCCAGTTCCTCCGAGCGAGCGACGCCAAACTATCTTCCACCACTAGCCACCTCCACTTCGGTGAATAATTGTTATAAATTAGGAATATAGTATCGAGTGCTTGTAAATTTAGTAGTCATATAGTTAGTTGTTAAGTATTGTATTTCAGTTGTAAGTTCTCTGACTGTCTTTTCTTTCTTTTGATTAGTATTTTAATTGGGTTTCAAAACACTAAATGACCGGCAGTCCTATATTCTCAATAAATTTGACAAATCAAAAAAATCCATCTAATCTAAACTAGCATATGTCGATTAAGACAAGTCAAGCGATCT